ATCTTGGCGTTTTTTTTTTTTTTCTCCCCCACACTCTGGGCTCTCCGGAGCAGTGGCTCACTTGCATGAGACAGGTCCACCCCCTCATTACGAGCAAGGTAAGAATTTGGGTGTGTAAAGTAGTGTGATTCTTGATCTTTGGAGTATTTGGACCAAAGGGAAATGTTTTAAATTGGGACATTCCCCCCGCCCCCCCCAAAAAAATATCATGCTACAGAGGTGCTTTGACTTGAGATGGGGTAGTGAAATCTCTTCAACTTAAACAAAAAGTCCTCAAACTGCTTAATGCCCCTCCCACTCAAAATTTACTGTCAAACTCAACATCAAACAAAGGGAATTCTACCTTGTGGATTTAAATCAAACACCGAGAATTGCTGCCGCTTAGCTTTTGCTCAGTCTTGTTTGACTCCCCTGCTGGGGGGGGCAGGATGCGGTTGGGGGTGGGGGGTTAAGTGATTTTCTTTCTTTGACATATAAGGGAAAGGCAAGTTGTCTTCTCTTTGACTTGCCACCCTCTCTGGTATTCCGTCCCTTCTATCTCGACACCCTCCTTTCTCGTCTCCTCCCGCTTTTGTCGTTTTGGCGCCAGTGAAAGGCTTAACGTTGGCCCGCGTCCCTGAGGGAGACCAAAAGGAAATGTGACTTGTGGGGACATGAAAGAAAAGCTTAATTATTTCCCAATGTCATTAGAGGGATCAAAAAAGGGTTAGAAGGCTTAATGGGAAGGGCGAGAACAAGAAGGTGGGATGGCCAAACGCTCAATAAAACAATTTTTAAAAAAATGTTTTTTGAATGCGAGCACTCACACACACACACACACACACACACACACACACACACACACACACACACACACACACACTCATACGTAAACATATTGACAAAGCGAGTATACATATCTCTGAATTCCTTTGTATAAAAAAAAAGCAGACGCGTAAATTAAACTTTTAAGAGCAAAGAAACTGTTTACTATTGCATTATGAAGCTATACCGTACTAACACTGAATATTAGCCGATAGAGGCGCTAAGCCGAACAAACTACTGTCCAGTGATCTTTAAAGAAAAAATAAAATGAAATAAAAAAAAAATGTCTTTATCAGAAACCTACGAAGGCGTATTAGGGCCCCGCTGAAAAGAAAAACAATAATCAAGTCATAATGTTGGTGGGGAAAAATGTCACAAATTTTGTAGAAACTTGTAATTATTTTTTTTCTGAAGGATGTAGTAAAAAAAAAAATGTTCTGTATGGCAGGTTACTTGAGACTGCTGATCTCAGACTGTTGCATTTAGCTTCGTTTGGGATTTTTTTTGGAGGGGGAAAAAAAAAGAGGAAAAAAAAACCACCTCCTGACGGTGAACAACTTTTTTTGTCATCTCATAAAAATAAACTTTGTGCAAACAATGAAACCATTTTCCCGTTATTTAGATATATTTAATGATGGCATAAACATTTCCTGAAAATGCTTTTTTTTTCCCAAAATGTTGCAATTTTACTCTGACTTTCTTTTCATTTTTTTTCTCTCAATACTAAATTTTAATCTCACTTGTTCGAATGAAGACTTGCGAGATTACTGTTTTGTTTTTTTAATTCTTGAAGAAATGCGATTTTATTTTTTCTTGGAATATTTTACAATTTTTATTCTGATACTATTCATTTTTCTAACAAATATGATTAACAGCATTTCAGCTTTATTCTGGGAAAAATAGAACCCCCCTCCCCCCACACACACACACACACACACAAAGAATTACAACTAGATGCTTGAGGTTGTATGACTTTTTTTCCCCCCTGATATTTTTCACATTTCAGTGTGGCCCTAATAATCCCACGTAGAAACCAGCGGACTTACTTATTATTTTTTTTGTAATTCTTTGTTGAACAAATATGATTGTTGTTCCTGTTCCTGTTATTATTATTATAATTATTATTATTATTATTATTATTATTATTATTATCGACGTTGTTATTATGACAATTGTAAATGTTATAAGAACTGTACACTTCTCATGCTTTGTTTTTAATTCTACCGTAGAGGAGTTGTTGTCTTGTTTTTATCCCAAAACTTCCCGCCAACTTTTCCTCTCCTCTTCTTCTCTCTCTCTCTCTCTCTCTCTCTCCCTCTCTCTCTCTCTCTCTCTCTCTCTCTCTCTCTCTATCTCTCTCTCTCTGTCTCTCTTTCACTCTGTTGATCTCTCCTTTTTCTGTGCCCAGTCGTCACCTCTCCTTCCCTTTCACCGTTTATTTCCGTGTCCATGTGTCATTGTTGATATATAGCTAACTATTTCTTTATAGGGGAAAAAGTACAAAGCACGAGAAAATTAAAAAAAAACTCAAAAATAAAAATAACCTTGATGTGTTTTTTTGTTTTTGTTTTTGCTGAGGTTTAACTTGGAATTGGCAGGTGGATGTTTTTCCACGCTGAGAAAAGACAAGCAGGAAGACGGCGCATGTGTTGAAATCGATGGGGAATAGTCGAGCGGCATGATAAAGATAAAGACGTGAAAGGCGGTTTGAGCGCAGCGAGTAAACAAAGCAGGTGGAAGCGCGGCGCCGCTAATGAATCATCAAGCCGAGAAAAGAAGATGGAGGAACCCAAATACACGTACCGGTAAAGTTGCGCCCAATCGATAGCCGATTCTGTCGAGAAGCTCTCAACGGAGGTCGCCGGGGCGACGGATCAATGACGGGCCTCCGTGCCGCTCTGTCATAAAAAAAGATTGTCAAGCGGCAATCAAAGTCATGGACTCGCACGGACGCCGGCGGCGTGACTTGACATGGCCGCGGCGGGCATGTCTGCGGTTTATTGTGATTGTTTTTTTCAAAGGGAGCCAATCCCGACAGGGCTGGCGTGATGGATGGCTAATCAAAAGGCGAATATTAGCCTTTTGATTCGTCTTCACATTTTAAGAGTCCGTCATCTTTTTCCGACTGGACAACTTCGCCAACAGAAAAACTGCATCGCCGCTGCTGCGAAAGTCAAGAGCAGACGACAGAGTTGTCAAAATGAGCGCGCTGAAAATAGCCCAAGCAGCGGATAATCGCTCAAAATAATCTTCGAGACAGCTGAGCTCATATACAGGCGGGAAGGCTAATGGTGCTCTGAGGCCTCGTCCACACATCAAAATAATCGGGCTGCTTTTGCCCCGATTTTCCCCCTTCCAGACCAAAGCTGGCAAATGGAGGACTAGACGGTTCCAAATCCTACGGTGGTGCATGAGACGTTGAAGCTACATCGATGTTTTGTTTCTGCTCATTCGGAGCTTGCTTGCTTGATCTGCAATGCAAAGAAAAGGGAATGCGGGGCGCCAGGAGAGGCTTCTTAAAACGGTCGTGGGTTCGATCCCTGCTCCGGCCTTCCTGTGTGGAGTTTGCATGTTCTCCCCTGGCCTGTGTGGGCTTTCTCCGAGGACTCCGGTTTCCTCTCACATTCCAAAAACATGCATGGCAGGCTGTTTGAACATTCTAAATTGTCCCTAGGTGTGAGTGTGGGCGTAGATGTTTGTTTGTTTGTGTGTGCCCTGCGATTGGCTGGTGACTCGTTCAATGTGTCCCCCGCCTACTGTCCAGCACCCCCCATGACCCTTGTGAGGATAAAGTGGATCAGAAAATGGATGGATGGATTATTGTTCGAATGAGTGTAAACAGGGTTACAAAATTATTGCAAAATCTCAACGTTATTTGACAATTTGACATTTCGGTACAGATTTTAGCAAGTTGACACAAGTGATTTGCTTTCCCGGGCCACATAAAATGACCTGGCGGGCCAGATCTGGTCCCCGGGGCCTTGAGTTTGACATTTGTGGTCAAAAAAAAAGACACAGACCACCGATTGCAAAATATATGACTACTATGACTGCTCATTTTCGTGCATTCTTACAAACTGGCCATCGACGCGCCTTTGGAGGTCGCCGTCAAGCTTTTGAGACGCGATTGAACCGCGGCAAGCAGCACGGCCGTCGGCGAGTCAAATCGATGGACATGAGCGGGCCTGACGAGCAGCCAACGCGTATTCCTCCTTGAGTTTATGGCATTCGGTGAACGGGGGCATAACGCAGCCGATAATGACAACGTCAAGTCGATGAGCGCCTCAGTCGCTCCCGTGAGCTATTGTTTTCCCCGCCGCGCACGATTGCGAGAGGTTCCCGTTTACGACCGTCGTATTTCATTCGTATGAGTCGCGGTAAACACGGCACGCCATCCGTTCCTGATGTCGTTCCATTATCGCTTTGTATCTTCACCGCACAATCGAGTAGGTTGCTGCGGGAAGCGCGCGCTGACTGATTTATGGGCGTGACCACGGCGAGGTGCTTTCAGCGTCATCGACGTGAGTGTGTTGAGGCATAATCAGGAGGCTGAGAGCTTTCAACGCAGACAGAACAATTGACAAGTAAACCTGAACAATCTATACTTTTAACCCCTTCAACGTGTGCAGATTTCGCTGTCAAAAGCTCTAACTTGGGCGATTTGATAGGAATGGAACGTCAGGGAGAAAATGCAATTTATCGGGTACTCCTGCTGGACCTAATGAGATCCCACAAAGGAGCTCAATACGTTAACCCAAACGTACGCTCTCAGCATAATGCACAGTCATCAATGTACGCGTTAACGTGAACCACAAGCCCATCTTGGACTCGGCTCCCCCCCACCCAAATTTTTTACAAAACCGAGACCATGAACATTAGAGCTTGTCACCCCCAGAACTGTTCTAATGTTCCGTTCGGTTATTCACAGTGCCCTAAAAAAATGGAGTAGAGTCCGATTCATCGGGCAGCACAAGGAAAATAAACAGTTGAAGCATGAGGTGCTGCGAGGCTGCGCTCAGAAATTAAAGTGAGTGGAGCGTGCTCTGCCGCCGGCAGCTACACCGAAACAAAAGTACATTCAAGTTTTTCTTTTTAGTTTAAAATGACTTACTTTCAGCGCAATCCTGCATGGTAGCCAAAGGTACAATCCTGATGGGTTAATGTGCACGGTAAATCTTTGTGCCTAATACGGTGGCCAGTAAATGCACAATGCGAAGAAAAAAAATTAATAATATCAAGACAAAAGAGGAACGTGACAAAAGGGAGTGAAGGAAAAAAAAAACATCACAAGCAGTACAACTCAGCATGAGAATAATAAATATTCTTTTTCATGTTTTTCTCCTGCACATCAATGACGGTTCGAGATGAACAATCCAATTAGCGGGGGAGCCGGGGCCCCCTCTGTTTTTTTTTCATGAGGAAAAAAAGATCAGCATTGTATTTACAAGTGTAATCAAAACAACCATGAAGATTGTGTCAAAAGCAGGTTAATTATGTTCCCCTCTTTTATAATGCGACATCCTCTGTGGACCGTCGCGTTATTAGAAAATGTTTAATTAAACGCTGTCACTCATATGTTTATTACGGGTGGCTGTCTTGACACAAACTTGAAATTTGCCACACGGGGGAGAAAAAAAAAAAAAAACAAGGACGGGCCTTGGCAGCAAAAGTGACATCTGTGATCAGGATTGCCGTCATCATAGGGCGGATTAATTTTCTGGCTGACATTTGGCGTGGGAGATGATAATGAAGTGGCCTTTTCAGTTGCAAGCTACTTCGAGCGTCTGTGCATGCGGTTAATGATTCGTTGAAAAAAAAAAACAACAACAATAACAACACAGGAACTAATGGCACAATTTGCTCTGTTTATTTTTTGTGAGACCGCAAGCCTTCTGAGTCAACGTTGCTGCTAGCAACGCGCACACGGTAAGGCTTCATTACAGACAAATGTTGAGAGTGAGGTCAAAACTGGAAAATACGCCCCCACCCCCCCACCACCCCCTCCAAAAAAATACAGAAAAATAGTGGAAGATTTGCCAATCCGTTTTTGAGTTAGCAAGCTGTTTCCAGCTTTAGGAATTGACATGTTGGTGGGGACTTTGTTTCCATGGTAACGTAAATCCCAAAAAATGTTAGATACATAAATATTTGTCCATAAAGGAAAATGCCTCATTTCATAGTTAGCGGGGTACTTTCTGGTTCTCACGTTTAGGGATAGATGAACAGCACTAACCACCATGTGGGAACAGTTCCATTCGAAGTCAAAAGGGAAGTAAAACAGGAAAAAATGAATCTCCTTCCTCGGCGGCATTTTGAAACCATAA